TATATATTCTGCTTATCTTGCTGTTTGTTGAATATATTATTATATATTTATATTATTTTCTGATCCGTTTTGCGTTTCTTGAATTCTGTCTGTCTTCTCTTCCCCTTTTTCCGTCTATTCATTCGTCGATTATCTATCTATCTAGTTAGCTATCTTCCTATCTATCCATATACCAATCTATCTGTATCACTTTGAGTCTATCTCTTATGTCTATCCATCTGTTTATCTATCTATTCACATTTCATGCATTGTTTTTCCCTTTCCGATGTCTATCCATTTCCGGCTTCGTTCTCCACTCCCTTCTTTCATCGCCATTCTATCTTATTCTGTCTTTCTTGCCTCTCTTTATTTTCCTTCTTCTTTCTTCACATCTATTCACCTGTCTATTGACGTTGAATTCCATCTTTTTCTTCTCTGCTCTTTTCCTTATATATTATTTTAATTATGTATCTTATATGTTCTCTTTTTTTCTTCCTAATTTCATAAACGTGCCTCTTTTTTAGATCTAACAATTTCTATTTTTTTAAATCTATTTCTTCATATTCTACTATAATTCTTTATCTTCTTCTATACTTGAATATTCATTTACCTATATACGTTTATTTATCTGTATATCATTCTTTTTTTTTTTTTTACAGACACTCACCTCTGTTTACATCTATTATTATCATTTCATGTTGTTTGTTTATTTGTTTGTTTTCCCATCTCCTCTCTTTCTTCTTTGTTTTTGCATGTTGATGTATGTACATCTAGCTCTCTATTTGTCCCATCTATATCAGACTTATTTCTCTACACACTTCGTTTATTAACATTGTTTCTTATCAAATTATCGTATTTTCTTCCTTTCTTTTATATATTTTTTTTCGTCTCTTCTATTAATCTAAATTATAAACATCTATCTACCTTTTAATCAAATCATTTATACCTATCTTTCTATATATCGATGCCTATATACATCCATTTCCTTTGATACCTATTTAAGTCATTATTTCATTTTTCTTTTCGTTCTGAGTTTTTCTCTCTTTCTATCAATTTTATTCATTTTTCTTCTTCCTTTTCCTGTTTGTTATTCCTATTTTTCTTTTTCTCTCCAATTCCTATTTGTTTTAATTCGTCCTTGATCAATATTCTCAGCAATTATCATCTGCATTATGAATCTTTTGTTCTTGTTTTTCCTCCTTCTCTCCCTCTCTTTCTACTTTTATCTCGTTCTTTGCGTAACTGAGTGTTTCTTTTCTTCCTTCTTTCTTTCTTTCTTTGCTCCTTTCTTTGTTGTCTCTCTGTCCTTCTTTCTTTGTTTTCTTTCTGTCCTTTCTTTCTTTCTTTCTTCTTTCTTTGTTTTCTTTTGTCCTTTCTTTTCTTTTTCTTTGTTCTTTCTTTTTCTTTCTTTCTTTGTTCTTTTCTTTCTTTCTTTCTTTCTTTCTTTTCATTCGTTCCTTCTTCTTTTTTTTTTCTTTCCTTATTTCTTTATTTGTTTCTTTGTTTCCTTTCATTTCTTTCATTTTTATATTTCCTTTCTTTCCTTCTTTTATTTTCTTTCTTTTTTCTCTTTTCTTTTTCTTTTCTGTCCTCGATTCTTTTCTCAGATATTTTCATTGTTGTTGTTGTTGCTTGTTATTCTCTTCTATAATAACATTTTATTGTCTTGCTTTAGTTATTGTATTTTGGATAGAATGATTACCTTCATTCTCATTATCACCATTATCACTATGTCGCCATTGTTGTAATCATGATAATAATGACAATAATAATTATGATAATAATGATAATGATAGCATTAGTAAAAATGATAAGGATGATATCAATGATGATAATAATGATAATGATGATAATAATAATAATATAATAATAATATATAATAATAATGATAATATTGATGATGACAATAAAAATAATAATAATGATAATAACAATGATAATAATGGTGATGATAATGATAATAATAATGACAGTAATAATAACAATGACAGTAACAATGATAATAATAATAATAATAATAATAATAATAATAATAATAATAATAATAATAACAATAATAGTGACCCCGTGCGACCAATACCTTTCCCTGACCTACTTCGAGAGCCTCGCCATTCAGCTCCCTCCCCTCGCTGGCCTTTCCCCAAAAATTATAAGTAAAATAAACAAAAAAAGGCCAAACATAAGACAACACCCCTCCCCCCCCCTCTTGCCAGCCGCAAGCGCCCACTCCCGCGCCTCCGCAGCCCGAGAGCGGCGGCCAAGGATCGCCGCAGGAAGCCATGGCTCTTGAGGGCCGCTTGTAGGAGTCGGCGGCACGTGACTGGCTGGGGCGGCGCAGTGAATCAATTAGGACAGGTTCCCGTGCAAATCAGTGAATCTCGCGGGACCCAAGACTGATGGCAGTCCGGGCCCTCTCGGCGGGTCTATTGCAGGTCATGTCCTTCATTCGCCTGGCAGGTCAAACGAGGCTCCGCTCTGCCTGCGGTTCCCTCGGCGCCTGTGCATTGCTCAAGTGCAAAGT